TGATTTCTGCTTCTTCAAATCAAACATCAACTAATAGATATCTTAAGCATCAGCCACCTCCTTGCCTCGTTACACAACACCAGAGGCTGTGGTGTGCTGGAATTGGCATGAGTGGCCAGCACTGGTTCTCAAAAGGAACCGTGAGGATCTCTTCCCAGTCCGTGTTCAGTGATGCCATGCCGGCCATGGTGGGAATATTTACATTAGAAAAATGAGTAAATGTTGCAGATCAGGGCTTTTTTCAGAGAGTTGATATTAAGCATTTATTGACACACGTGGCTGGAAGTAAGACCCACCAGGCTCTGGAGCCAGAGGTCACATCCCAGCTTGGCCACTCCCTCTCTTAGGTAGTTATTTCACCTGTCTGGCCAGCGTCCTCACTGTAAAATGGTGATAAGGATAAGGCCTACCCCACAGTGTGTTGTGGCAATGAACTAAGATAATACACGTAAAGTGCTTAGAACAATGCCTGACACATAATAACTGCTCAGTACAGACTACTTACCAAGCCATATTATTACCACTGAAATTAGGAATAGAATAAGATTTTGTGTGTGAGAGTGGTTCTAGAGGTCTAGTCAGTTCAACAAGACATGGAACAAAAGCCAGAAGTACATAACTATGGGACCATGAAAATAAAATTAGCAGAGGATGTAATTATATGCCTGGATTACCCAAGGGAGTCAACTGAAACATTTTTTGAATTAATAATAGAATTAAATGGGTGTTTGGATAAAAGAAATATATTTTAAAATCAACAGCTTTTGCAAATCATTTCTCAGAATTTATCCAACAGAATAAAATTACCACTGTGAAAAGACAAATGCTCAAGGGTAAATAGTAAGTTCACTGATCACAAGGGAGATGTCTCAGGGTACACTATTTTGGAATATTCTTTCTCTGTAACTCCAGGTCTCAAGCTCCCCTTTCCATTACTATTCAAAACTGTCCTCTTACCAATGCAAGATACTTTTGTCACTCCTGGCTTAAAGTGCACTCTCAGGATTCTCTCCCACTCTCCCTTTTTCCTCCCCAGCCAGGGTCCATGTCTGGGGGAAGACATACAGGCCTTGATTATGGTGCTATCCTTTGGACATGTGGAGACGAGCTCATCAGTGCCATGCTTTGTTCAAGCTGAGCGATACCCATCTTGATGATCTTGGGCGTCTGCCTTCTTCTCCTGAGCATCTACCCAGTCTCCCTGGCTGGCGTCACTTCTCTCAGCACTCGCCTTGTACAATGATTGCTCAGGAAGAAGCCCAGTGGTTTTCTCCTGCTGAAGTGATTACCACCTCAGTCTAGAGGCTGTGACTCGTCCTTTAATAATCAACTATATCTTCTATATAGTTCCTAGGGTAGGCTGTCCATGCCTCATGGTGTGTTAAGAAATCCCCACGGCTCTCAATTCTCAGCTCCTCTCCCCTTACTCTGCTTTGGAAAGCTTTGGAACTTTTTAAATATTCTCCATAACCTGTGGGGTGGGGAGGTGGAAGGCCTATCTCAGGCCCTCTCTACCAAAACATGTCTTGCTGCCATTATTACCATGCTGCAGTCCACACACGTTGCCTTCCTGAAGTAGCAAACAGGTGAAGGCAGTGTACCATGAAGCTCAGGAAGCTTAAGCTTCAAGGCCCCTCACGCACACAGCCCCCTGCCCTGGGAGTTTTCATTACAGCTCCCCCAGGAGCACACAGGGATAAAGTGCAAGTAGTTTATGTAGGAGCCGATGCCACAAAACACCAGTAGGGGAGTCAAGTGGGACTGGGGAAGCTGCCAATCAAGGGGCACAATCAAGGAAGTTACTATTCTGGATACCAGGCTTAATCCTCTTGGGGAATTCCGTGCCTCAATGTTATCTCATACGAGGAGGAAGTATGCTGGGCTCTGATATACCACCTTTAGTCAGTCATTGATTGATAACTGCTAGAGCACGAGGTAAGAAGAATTAACTTTCTGGAACTTCTTACATGCCATGTGTCCTCAGGTCTATCTGCGGAGGGAAGTTCTCAGGCTCAGAGATACAGATGCTGCTAAAAGCCACGCCAAATTAAGGCCTGTGGGGATATGGATGGGGGCACCAAGAGCTTACCTGGTTATATGTTTTTGTGTAAAATGTACAAAAGTAACTTTAAGGCAAAACTATGGAGATGGTAAAAAAAAAAAGAATCAGTGGTTGCCAGGGATTAGGGGAGAGAAAGAGATGAATAGGTGGAACACAGGCAGAGGATTTTTAGGGCGATGAAACTACTCTGTATGATACTACAATGGTGGATACATGTCATCATACATTTGTCAAAAACCCATAGGATGCACAACACCAAGAGTAAGGCTTCATGTAAACTATGGACTTTGGGTGAGCATCATGTGTCAACATAGGCTCATCAGTTATAATCAATATGCTACTCTGGTGGGAGATGCTGGGAATGGGGAAGCTGCACATACGTGGGGGCAGAGGTTATTTGGGAAATCTCTATACCTTTGTCTCAAATTTTCTATAAAACCAAAAACTCCAAAGCAAGTCTATAAAAATAAAAAAATTTAGTTAATAAATGTTGTCATGTTTTCCCTTCCAATTTCCGCTCTGTCACACTTCCCTCTCCTTGGGTAATATGTGAAAAGTACCAGCCGCTCTCAGAATCTGGCCAAAGGGAAGTCCAGTTGGGGCTATACTCAGTTGGAGCCTGGTGGAATATATTACTTGATTCCCAGTCCCTTCCATGTATAGTTGTTATCTGGAACCATTGTGATGAAGGAAAGGCTTGGAGGCACACCACCACTGCCCACTGACTCACCCAGAGACGCGAGGCCAGAGGTTGTGTTGCAATATGAACATAACCTACAGCACCAGGCACTGGAAGCATGAAAGGAGCAGAAGGGAGATGAAGTTTTAAATATGTTATGCCAAAAGCTAGTCAGTCTGTGGTGTACCAGGCAGTTAACTAATAGAAATACTATACTGTTTTTCTGTTTTCTATGACATTTGTGGTAATTGTCAACTTTTAAAATTTATGGTTACAACTTTTCTTATAATACATATTTCTTTTCAGGTATAATTTTGTATTCAGAATTTTTTTTATTTATTTATTTATTTAGTAAAGATGGGCGTCTCACCGTGTTGCCCAGGCTGGTCTTAAACCCCTGGGCTCAAGCAATCCTCCTGCCTCAGCCTCCCAAACTGCCGGGATTACAAGCATGAACCACCATGCCTGGCCTACGCTTTTTCTTAAAGAAGACACTCGAAAATACATGTTTCTGTCCACCTTGCAATCAGAGACATAGGCTTTTCTGCTGTTAGACCAACAAATATTCCTGAAGGCAGGGATAATAGTCAAAATATGTAACTATACTCATAGCACGGGCAGCAACCAATCAATGGCTCCAGCATGGTCCTCTAAACCTAACTTACTAAATCAGAATATGTTTTTCCTCTTAGACTTTGAACCAAAGGAAAGACTAGGAAGAAGTTTTCATATTAGTTTCAAAGCTCTCTTGCTTTCTTCTCCCAGTTTCTTCCAACCCACAAAGAAATTTTATTTCTTCTCTGTGTGGTAAGAAGTCTGTTCCTGAGTCATCATCTTGCTATCTCTTTACCCTGTATTCAGAACCTAAACACTATGTTCTCTGTGTTCTCAGAGTTCCAGGCTGTGGCTCTTAATATCTAAAGAAAAGATTTTAAAATGCAAAAGGCTCCAACTTTTGTTTCTGAAAACTAGGGATGCAAGTTAATTACAGCAGCAAAAAATTTGAAGTAACATGAATATCACCCTATAGCAATGATTGAAAAATGAAAGGATATCCATACTATGGCACCCCAATAAAGATGATTCAACTTTTTTATTTATAAATAAAAGTTGTAAATATTTATGGGGTACACGTGATACTTTGATATATGCATACAATGTGCAGGGGTCAAATCAAGGTAACTGGGATATTCATCAGCTTACACATTTATTTGTGTCAGGATCATCCTAAGTCTCTTCTAATTATTTTGAAATATACAATAAATTATTGTTAACTAATAGTCACCCTACTGTGCTGTCAAACACTAGAACTTGTTTCCTCCATCTAACTGTATTTTACACTCATTAGCCAGCCTCTCTTCATCCGCCTTCCACTTTTCCTAGCCTCTGGTAGCCACCATTCTACTCTCTGCCTCCATGAGATCAACTTTTTAAACTCCCACATGAGTGAAAACATGCAATATTTCTCTTTCTAAGCCTGGCTTATTTCACTAAACATAATGTTCTCCAGTCCTATCCGTGTTGCTGCAAAATGACAGAACTTTCTTCCTTTGATGGCTGAATAGTATTCCACTGTGTATATATACCGTGTTTTCTTTATCCATTCATCCACTGATGGGCAATTAGGTTTGGACTGAACACAAGCCCACAAATCAAGTAACCATCTCAAAGGAAGACGTTTCTGAATTTCCAGTGCATTAGTTAGCAAAAAGGTGCACAAAAAAGGCCCACAATAATCGGTCATATGAAAAAGCATAAAATGGCCAAGCTCAGTTCCTGTTATCTAGCTTATGACTTATTTCCTGACAATATTTTACAGGGAGTTCCAAATATAGGCTATAAAAGGGATGCCAAGTCTTCAAAACAATGCCTAATTACTAGTAGAGTAACTAGAGGTGGGCACCAAAAGTTATTACATGGGGATCCTCTACAAACTAGGTTGTGAATACGCCAGGTTATTGTCCACCAAATCCCGATAGCAGAGTCTGTCCCCACCACTCATTCTCCCTTCCTTAACCCCATTTTTAATCTTTTTGCCTTTGCAATTTCCTCTGCAGAATCTGTTGGGCCACTCTGTGTCTCTTTCACTTTATCTTGTAGGCTAGAATCTTCCCTGTAAATACTGGAAAATACTAAAATATCTCTCCATATATCAAGGATGGTGTCATAACAGAACTACTAGGGTGGGGCAAGGGCAAGACTAAAGGATTTCTGAAATCCTTTGTGATCATCTGATTCTATGGTGATAAATCAACCCACTGCAGAATTGATTTAAAACATCAGCACAGCCTTTCCAGCCTCAGCGCTAGACCCTACAGCTGCCGAGATGTTGATGCCTAAGAAGAAATGGATTGCCATTTATGAACTCCCACGGTGGCCAAGAAGGATGCCCACATGCCTAAGCACCTGGAGCTGGCAGATAACAATATGCCCAACCTTCATGTCATGAAGGCCATGCAGTCTCTCAAGTCCTGAGGCTACATGAGGGAACAGTTTGCCTGGAGGAGTTTCTATTGGTGCCTTACCAATGAGGGTATCCGGTATCTCCGTGACTACCTTCACCTGCCCCCAGAAATTGTGCCTGCCACCCTACGCTGCAGCGGTCCAGAAACTTGCAGGCCTGGGCCTAAAGGTCTGGAGGGTGAACGACCTGCAAGACTCGCAAGAGGGGAAGCCGACAGAGACACCTACAGATGGAGTGCCGTGCCGCCTGGTGCAGACAAGAAAGCCGAGGCTGGGGCTGGGTCAGCAACCCAATTCCAGTTTAGAGGCAGATTTGGTCATGGACGTAGTCACCCACCTCAGTAAAATTGGAGAGGATTATTTTGCATTGAATAAACTTACAGCCAAAAAACCTTTAAAAAAATTTGCACAGATATAAATAAGCTGAAAGGCTTTTGATAAATGAAAACTAGTTAATAACTAGCCACTACAGATGTAGTGGCTCACACCTGTAATCCCAGCACTTTCAGAGACCAAGGCTGGCGAATCACGAGGTCAGGAGATCAAGATCCTTCTGGCCATGGTGAAACCCCACCTTTACTAAAATACAAAAAAAAAAAAAAAAAAAAAAAAAGGGGATGGTGGCATGCACCTGTAGACCCAGCTCTTCAGGAGGCTGAGGCAGGGGAATAGCTTGAACCCAGGAATCAGAGGTTGCAGTGAGCTGATCATGCCACTGCAGTCCAGCTAGTGACAGAGGAAGACTCCATCTCAAAAAAGAAAGAAAGAAAAAAAAAAGATTGTCATATAAGAACTATCACTTCTGGAGGGGTATAATTGTGATAATAAAATTACATTAGCAAAACTACACGGAGTCTCAAAGGCCAGGAATAGGGAGATTGCAACAGATACAGTGAAGAAAAATATTGTCAAAGCCAGAAATTTCTGAATATAGGTGATTTTCTGTCAAAGTTTCTTGGCCTAAATGGTAAGACAACAGAAATCCTTGATGAAACACAGCTACACGAAACCCTAAACAGAAACCCACTGTCTCTGGTCAGAGATTTAAAGCTAACATATGTTTGTCATATATATAAATATATACACTGTTGACCCTTGAACACTGGTTTAAACTGCAAAGATCTGAACAACACAGGTTCGAACTGCAACGGTTCATTTATACAGAGTTTTTCAACCAAATGCAGATGGAAAATACAGTATTTGCAGGATACAAAACCAGAATATCTGGAGGGCTGATTTTCCAATAAACTCCTTCCACAGGGCTGAGAGACTTGACCATATGGGGATTTGGGTATACGTGGGAGTCGAGGGGAAGTCCTAGAACCATCCCGTCACATATACCAAGGCATGACATGTATGTAATTTACTTCTCAAAATTCTATGAAGAAGTAGCTATTTTTTCTATTTCTAAAATTTTCCCCTACTTTTTATAGGTGAAAAATCAGCCTCAGAGATTAAGTAGCTTGGCCAATATAATGTGGATATTGAAAAACTAGAAAAAGAAGCTGGAGGTAGTTTTCCTTTTTCTTAACCACTCAACACCAATTTTAACTTCTGCTTCACAGAGAAGTTCATGAACAAGAGGAGAAAAACAAAAAGGCACAGGAGGAAAGATGAAAGTATATGTAATGAGAATACCAAAAGGAGAAGAAAGCAACAAAGAAACTGAGAAATGTTTGAAGCAATAATGACTGAGACTTTCCCCCAAATCAGTGCCAAACACAAAACCACAGATTCAGGAAGCTCAGAGAACACCAAGCAGGATAAATGCAAAAACAACAACAACAAAAAAAAACCCTACACCAAGAAAAAATAGACCTTACCTACCTATGTATAGAGTAGCATAGATAAGAATTATATCCAATGTCTTCTCAGAAGCCATGAAAGGAAGAAGGGAATGGAATGAAATATTTAAAGTGCTGAGAAAAAAACACCACCAGTCTAGAATTCTATACTCTGAAATTATCCTTCAAAAGTTAAGGAGAAATAAAAACCTTCTCACACCAACAAACTTGGAAGGAATTTGTTGCCAGTAGACATACCTTGCAAAAATATGTTTAAAAGTTTTTCAGGCCGGGCGCGGTGGCTCACGCCTGTAATCCCAGCACTTTGGGAGGCCAAGGCAGGTGGATCACGAGGTCAAGAGATCGAGACCATCCTGGTCAACATGGTGAAACCCCGTCTCTACTAAAAATACAAAAAATTAGCTGGGCATGGTGGCGCGTGCCTGTAGTCCCAGCTGCTCAGGAGGCTGGGGCAGGAGAATTGCCTGAACCCAGGAGGCGGAGGTTGCAGTGAGCCGAGATCGCGCCATTGCACTCCAGCCTGGGTAACAAGAGCGAAACTCCGTCTCAAAAAAAAAAAAAAAAAAAAAAGTTTTTCAGAGAGAAGAAAAATGACACAGGTTAGAAATTTGGGTCTACATAAAGAAAGCAAGGGCATCAAAGAATGAATAGAAAATAGAACCATCGATTTTTCTTATTCTTAATTAATCTAAATGAAAACAGTTTGTCCAAACTAATGAAAGCATCAATGTATTTGATTACTTGCATAGATAGATAGATAAATAGATAGATAGCTATGCATATGTATGTTTATGTATATGTGTAAGTAAAATAAACAGCAGTAATGACACATGGGACATGAAGAAGGAATTAGAATTATTTTGTTCTTATCAAATACTCATAATACATTTAAAAAAGTAGAGAGTACTATTTTAAAGTAGACTTGGATTAGTTATAAATGTATATTGCAAACTTTAGGGCAACCACTTAAAAAAGTGAAAAAAGGCATATAACTGATAGGCTAAGAAAGCAAAGAAAATAGAATCATAAAATGCTCAGTTGAAAACTACAAAAGTTGGAAAAAGAAAAGGAGTCAAAATAGGAACAAAGAATAATAGCAACAAATAAAAAACAGTCACAATATAGTATATCTTAACCCAACTATATCCCCTTGAATGTCAATGGTCTAAATGGACAAATTAAACAACAGAGATTGTCAGAGTGGATCATAAAAAAGATCCAATTATATGTTGCCTACAAGAAACAGACTTTAAATATAAAGACAGATAGATTAAAAATAAATGGATGAAGAAAAATATACTATGCTAACATTAATTTTTAAAAGTAGTAGTTATATTAATTTCAGTAAAAGGAAATTGCAGAGCAAGGAAAATTATCAGGGACAAAAAAGGGCATTACACAATGATAAAGGGGTCAATTCTCCAAGAAGACATAACAATTCTTAATATGCATCTGCCTAACAACAGAGTGTCAAAATACATGAGGCAAAAAATGATGGAACTTCAAGAAGTAGATGAATCCACTATTGCCATTGAAGACTTCAGCACCCCTATATCATAAATGGACAGATCCAGGAAGCAGAAAATCAGCAAGGACATAATTAACTCAACAGCACCATAAATCAATAGGATACAGTGAACATGTAAGATTACTTCATCCAACAACAGCAAAATACATAGAAGCTCACATGAAACATTCACTAAAATAGAACACATTCTGGGTGATAAAACACAACAAATTTAAAAGGATAGAAGCTATACAATGCATGCTCTCAGACCATAATGGAATTGAACTAGAAGTTGATAAAATAATAGTTGGAAAATCCCAGAATATTTGCAAATTAAGCAGCACACTTCTAAATAACACATGGGGAAAAATACTTCAATTTTTTTTAAATATTTTGAACTAAATAAAAATAAAAACACAATATATCAAAATTTGGGGAATGCCATGAGGAAAATGTCTAGCATTAAATGTATATATTAGAAAAGGAGAAAAATCTAAAGTCAATGATCAATAAAACCAAAAGCAAGTTCTTTGAAAAAATAAATGAAATTGATAAGCCTGTCTAAGCAAAAAGAAAAAAAAGAGAGGACACAGGTTTGATAATATCACAAAAGAGGAGAAATCACTGCAAATCACAGACATTAAAAGGAGAAAAAATAATAATATACACAATTCTATGCCTACAAATTTGATAACCTAACTGAAATTCACAAATTCCTTTGAAGACACAATAAGTCAAAACTAACATAAGAAATAGAGTATCTGAGGCCAGGCACACTGGCTCACATCTGTAAGCCCAGCACTTTGGGAGGCCAAGGGGAGTGGATCACTTGAGGTCAGGAGTTTGAGTCCAGCCTGGCCAACATGGTAAAACCCTGTCTCTACTGAAAATACAAAAAATTTAGCCAGGCATGGTGGTGGGCACCTGTAATCCCAGATACTTGAGAGAGGCTGAAGCAAGAGAATCACTTGAGCCCAGAAGGAGGAGGTTGCAGTGAGCCAAGATCATGCCAGTGCACTCCAGCCGGGGAACCAGAGTGAGACTCTATCTCAAAAAAAAAAAAAAAAGAAAAAGAAAAGAAATAGGCTATTTGAATAGCACTATTTCTATTAAACTAATTGAAACACTAATTAGTAAACCCCAAAACAGCAGAAGACTCAGATAGGTTTACTTGTGAATTCTACCAAACATTTAAGAGAGATATTACATCAATTGTCTACAATATCTTTCAGAAGATAGAATCAAAGAGAATACTTCTTAACTCATCCTATGAGGCCATCATTACCCTAATGCCAAAACCACACTAAGACATTACAAGAAAACTACAGAGCAATATCTCTCATGATTACAGATGCAAAAATTCTCAATAATCCATTATCAAATTGAATCCAACAATGCATAAAAATAATTATACTTCATGACCAACTGGGATCTATCCCAGGTATGCAAGACTGGTTCAGCATTCAAAAATCAGTAGGCTAAAAAAAAAAAAATCATCTGAATAGACATTTCTCAGAAGACAAACAATTGGCAAACAGGCATATAAAAAGGTGCTCAACATCACTGATCATCAGAGAAATGGCAAATCAAAACTACAATGAAATATTATCTCACCCCAGCTAAAATGACTTTTATCCAAAAGACAGGCAATAACAAATGCTGGCAAGAATGTGAAGAAAAGGGAACCCTTGCACACTGTTGTTGGGAATATAAATTAGTACAACCACTATGAAGAACAGTTTGGAGGTTCCTCAAAAAACTAAAAATAGAGCTACCATGTGATTCAGCAATCCCACTCCTAGGTATATACCCAAAAGAAAGAAAATCAGCATATTGAAGAGATAGCTGCACTCCCACGTTTATTACAGAACTTTTCACAATGGCTATGATTTGGAAGCAGCTTCAGTGTCCATCAACTGATGAATGGATAAAGAAAACATGGTACATATACACAATAGGATACTATTCAGCCATAAAAAAGAATGATATCCTGTCATTTGCAACAACATGGATGGAACTTGAGGTCATCATGTTAAGTGAAATAAGCCAGGCACAGAAAAACAAACTTTGTGTGTTCTCACTTATTTTCGG